GGGCTGGGGGGCAGCCAGCCACTGGGTCCCCGTAGGCAACGCTTCCCCAAGCTGCCCCGATCGCTCCTCCCTTCCCGGGCCTCGCCATCCCCTTCCCACAGCGCTCCCTCAGACCCTCTGAGGGCCGGGCCCGCGACAACACGGCCCGGGACGGCAGAACCCGCACACGCTCCCGCGCCTCACCTTCTCCTCCACGCAGTTGACGATGATGGAGGGATACTTGCGGCTGAGCCAGCGGAAGAAGGCCGGGACTCCCATGGCGGGGGGGGAGGGTGTCCAGCGGCCCGTGCCTCTGGGCGGCAGCGGAGGTGACGAAACGCTTCCGCAGTGCAGAGGGCGGCGCGGGGCACTATGGGGGAACGCCGCGGATGACGTGTGGGCGCACGCAGCCGAGGGACTGAACGGGGGAGGGGCGGCACCATCTTAGAGGAGGGCGCGCCTCAGGGCGCAGGCGTAGATAGAGGCTCTGAGGGGCCATGGCGACCCTTCCTCTGGGCTTGCTCTCGTTAAGAAAAACAATACAAAATTGTGGTGGTTTTTTTTTTATACACGAACCAATTTCAAAAGACATCTCACTAGCATCCGATAGGTTAGCAATTTACATACAGTTACACAAGCATTAGTACATGTTCCCTGAGTAAGAGTCTTCACCCGGCCTGGGGTCTCCTTCCCCCTCGGTGTTAATCTCAGTATTAAAATAATGGTAGTTCACCTAAGGACAGAGTGAATCTCAGTGTAACGCTGCAAAACTATATCTAAACACGCTAACAGTGATGCACACGGTTTACATATCATCCGGGACTTGACTTCTCCAAGCACACACGACTTTTAAATCAAAAAGTTCTTCTGCTTAACCTTCCTTGACAGCTTCAAGGATGGTCACCTCACCCTCAGGCGCTGCACACACATTTGTCTTTTCTCTCGCACACCTAAATAATTAGCTGAATTAAGTCTCAGCCTCTGGAAGAGGCTCTTTTTCCCCTCAGGAAAGCGAGAGGGAGCAGAATCCAAAGAGTGAAACGGTTCGGTGCGATTCACGACAGGCTCCGGCGGCAGCATCAGGGAACTCTGTCCCACTGCTTCGCCTGCTGCATAAGCAAATACCATTAATTTAGTCGTTGTGACGACGTCGAAAGGGAATTAAACCTTCAGGTATTAAACAGGATTAACACAAGGGAGGTTTGGTGCTCTGCCACGTCCTGCCACCGCGCAGCCCGGCTTCGGGAGGAGGGCAGTGACAGGGGTAAGGACACGAGAACGCAGCCCAGGACTCATTAACAAAAATAACAAAATCTCAGCAGTGCTTACTGAGTCAATGCCGCCGATTTGGGGAGGGGAGAGGAACCTTGCTATCTTGCAAATTCGCCATAGAACAAATTAACCCAATGTTGTATTTCTCATTATTCTTAGCCTCACTTAGCTGTTGCTAAGCCGTATTCTGTTGTCACTCCTCTTAATAAAATCTGTGACTTGAATAAATTTCCCCAGTAACTTTGTACTGGCACCACATCTGTGGTATCAGCTAAAGATTGTCCTTTATCTGTTCCTTACAAAAACGTACCCTGATTGAAGTTTTCTGTTGTAGTGCTTCTCCTCCCAGAATTTAGCACAGAGTAAGATGGCTTAGTATTAATATTTTGTTTGTATTGATGGGTAATCAGTTGTTTTTCCGATAACACTAAAGCAAAAAGAAGACGGCGCGAGCAAATGCAAATGAAACATGATCATCTTATCTTATAATTACTTGTGTAAACAAGTGCTGGAGAAAGTAACGCCACAACAAAACATTTCCTTGAAAGTCAATCTTTTTGCTAAAAAAAAAAATAATAAAGGGCCACCTTCTCTCCTGATAAGTGATGGTGGTTTTTTGGTCAGAACCTACATGCGCTAATGTGTTTTTGTTGGCAAATGTAATGGGGCAACCCAAAGTCCCACGTGAGAAAAAACCGGCAGCACCGAGCCACTGCATGCACACACCAGGATTATGGGAAGAGTTTTCATGCTGGTGTTTTCCTGCAGATGAGTGGCATGCCGATTTCGATCTGTTCAAGCTGTAGGTTCCCCTGTCCGTCACCGTCACCCATCATCGTCTTCAGGCTGCCAGCATGACAGCCGTGAAGGAGCAGAGTAAAGTTGACTGGCAGAGCGTTTTGCATCTAATGAGCCTGCGCACAATAAAAGTATAATAAATAAATCTCTGGAGGAGCTCAGCTATTGCTTCAGCACTGGGAGAGTGGGAGACTGCCATAGGAGAAGCTCCCAAAGCCATCTATCATCTGTCACGAGCTTGATGCGACGTGGCTGAGCAGCACAAGGGGCTTCTTCCAGATGAACCTGTCTGACATTCACCCAAAAATCGTCCTGGTGTGCTTACATTTAACCGCTGGGAGCAAGTTGGCACAACTGAGGGGTCAGCTGGAAAAAAGGAGCACGGACGGTGGGATCAGACACTGGTTCTGACACAGAAGACTGCTGAGGAGCCCCAAAACCTACCTGGTGGAAACCATGGGCTGCCTTTTCCTCTCATCGTTCTGAGTTTCCCTGCAGGGTAGCAGTCCCACAGGACACAGGTAACTGGCTTGGTAAAAACTGGAATGGGCAGAGGGATTTCTGCTGTTTTTCTGGCCAAGGCTCTTTATTAAATTGAATATTGTTACCAAGTTAAAACTGCTTTTGAAGGACTAGGCCCAAAGACTGGTGCCTCTATTCAAAGATGCAGCACTGCTTTGCACTGGAGTTTAATTGGGGTGTTGTTTTTCGCTTTTGAACTTATCATAATTATGAACAGATTTTTAAATTTTTTTTAATATGTTCCCTGGTTTCTCCCTCCGAAAGGAAAAGCTCATGTTTAATGAACTTAATTTTAGATAAAAGGAACTAAAAGAAAAAAAAATTAAAAATGCATGAAGCTCCTAGAGTCATCCAATTACTGTGATGTCCGTACAGCAACGCGGGCACGGGTTTTACAAAGCGAGTAAAAGCAGAAAATCACTGGGGCTCGCCGCATGTAAATGCTGCTCTATTCCAAAATGCGCCGAATTAGAAATGTACATTTTATGCATTTCTTCTTCTTGATCTGTTGCAGAAGACGATAAAGATCAAACACGCTGGCCCACCCTGAGCAGCAGATGTATGCATACCCACAATGCTTGCTTGCTTTCCCTCCCCTCCCCGCTCCGATGCCACATCCAGCTCTGCAGACAAAATATTGAAATAGTGATGAGTCTTTGGCGACGAGATGGGCAGGCAGGCTGATCAGAGGAAGCAGCTCCGACAACAAGGAGGCAAGGGGGATTTGGCCTCGAAAGACTGCTGCCGAGCAAGCGGACATCTCAGGACGTCTATTCGTTTGTTCCCCCAAAACAAATGTAGCACCAGGAGGAGCAGGATCGCTGTAAGATCAGGAAAACATGTAGCAGCTCAGAGAAAGCACAATGTACAGGGAGCCTGCGTAATAAGACCGAGTAATATTTATTCGGTGTTTAATTCACTTCGGCTATGAAGCGATGAGCTGCGCTTCAGACAGCGGCACTCTTGATATGTACAAGACAATACCTATTTGTTCCCAAAACTGAGTGGGTTGGGGAGATCTTAATCATAGAAGTCATCGAATTCATCGTCTTCTGTGCCTTGTGTTCGTGGGCGCAGAGCAGCCTCAAGCTCGGAGCTGCTGTCGTCAGACTCGCCCCAGAAAGCTGAGCGTGAGGAGGAAAAAAAAAAAAATTAGGTATTTTTTCCCGTGTTTGGGTAATTTCTGTCACTGAAGGGATCCCTGGTGCTCTCTAGGCACCGTGGCTCACAGGTTGGGGTTCCCGAAGGGCACCGGCACGGTGTGCTGCCCATGCATCGCGGTCTCCGACACCAGCAGCCGCACAGCAGGCTCATTCAGAGGCCCCACTTCATCGTCCTGCCTCAAGGTAGCTTGAGAGAACATTTCCACTCCAAGCAATTTACTTGACCAGCTGCTGCCTGAATTACAGCTTTTGTCTATTATGTCTCCACTTCCCCCCTCTACTTAACCCCGTGGTGAAGTCACCACTGGAGCGTGACATCATGGGCTTGGCCTAAAAACAGCGATGATGTCACGAACAGAAAAAAAACAAAACAAAACAAAACAAAAAACCCTGCTTTGTGACAGTATTTTAAAAAAAGAAAAAAAATTGAGAGGCTGCTGTGCCCCAAAGGAGGAACGAGGCTCCAAAACAGGGACTGGGGCCAGCGCGAGAGAGGAAGGCTCACACGGCAACTTTGGCTCACGCTCGGCGAAGGCGCTGCCAATGCGTTTGATGGTGCAAGCCCCGCAAACATCTTATCTACAAATGCAGCAGCTGCCTCTTTCATCCTCTATTCCCCGCCCTCCCCTTGGCTGGCAGGTCCTTACAGTGGCTAAAACTGAAACTCAGCTTTAGCCCCACTACTCCACCCCACACTCAACACCTGGGAAGCGGCTGAAAGTATCCAAAAAACCTCACCAGAACAGTTTTTTTCTTCTCTAGGTTTTCTGCTGTCTGCTCTTTGCTACTTAAACCCTGAAGCAAAGATTGTGACCCCTCCCACACCCCATGTGCTACAAATCACTTCCTCTCTGGTCCAGAATTTGTCAGTGTCACCTATTTGCTGGCTGCTGTGTTGAGAAAGGGAAATTGTACACTTACCCATCTCCTTCCACACACGTTTTATATGGTTCCATAATTTGTTTTCAGAGGTTTTCCACAAAATAAATTATACTCAGAAAGATATGAAGTAGCATAACACTGGCTTCTTACCTTTGGATTTTATCGCAGTTACTGTTCCCCTTCTCCTGGTTTCACTCCTGTAAGAGAAAAAGATTTCAAATAAACGACATACCACAAAATTAAAAGAATGCAAGTTGTATTTTTTTAAAAATAAAAAAGTGAGGTGGTTTGGAAAAAACCAGTAACTTCTGTAACTAAATTTTTTTTTTTTTTTAATGTCATAACAGTGAAGAACCCCCTGACAAAATAGTTCTCAGAGCATCATCCAGCTGCGATGTTAACATGCGAGGTCCCGGCTGCCTTTGATCTACCTCGCTGTGTGTGTGTGTGTGTGTGTGCGCGCGTGTGTGTAGTTGCAACTCCGTCCCGATAAATGACCGCTCTTGTGTCCAGAGCGTCAGAAGCCCTTTTGAATCTCTCAAACAAGCTGGGATCATTTTGATCTTTTGTGCGCAGCGCGCGCATTGTGTCAGTGCTGCGAAATAATTGCACGGGAGCAACAACATAGGAGAATTAACCATCACATTAACAGTCCCTCAATAGGCCGTAGAAATAAAGCTTCAGCCAATTTTAATAAGAAAGATCAAATAGGAGTTGTGTGCGACGTTACTGTGTGGACTAGTAAAATATAAGCAAACGTCAAGCTACAATTTGAAGCTGTTGCCACAGTCAGAACAGGGCTTAATCGGCTGTCAAAAATTTCATGCTGTTTGCTGGATTTCATTTAAAGACGTGGCAGCGAATACATAATTGCTTAAAGCAGGGAACTAAAAATCATCTACTATTATGGAGGCATTTGTGAAGGGGATTAAAAAAAAATATTTCACGGCTTGTCTTACACCACTGCATGCAGTAAGAATTTGGGATTGCAGCTGGAAAGCTCAAGTTCAGGCAGGAGGAAGTTTCATCACATTACAGCTACCTACGCCGCAAAAACTTTTCCTTTTCAGCAAAAGAAAGCTTGTACTGTTTAACTCGCAGTCCTTTTCGACAAGCTGTGAATGCCATTAGCACACAGATACACAGAAAATCCCCACAGTAGAATATTCAACAGAGCCAAAGCTCAATCGAGGTACCAAACCCAGGCTTGAGGACTAGTAACAAGCCACAGTACTAGCTGGGCATTAACATCAACATAGGTATTTTTTAATTTATTATTTCTTTAAGTAAAGAGCTTTAAAATGTTAGCCTTCAAAAGTTTATCTGGCGTCTTGTTAGCATGCGGTTCCGTTTCCCTCACTCAAACCCCACACTGCTTTATGCTGCAGCGTCTTGTTCAAAACCATTGACAGCATTTCCAGCAAGTATTTTAAGCCTGAGCCCGCAATACGCCAAACGCTCTTAACTCTTGCTCACTTTGGTGAGATTTCACGACCTGCAGCATTTCCCAGGAGGTGCTCCATGTACACCGGGCCTAGCCCATAAAAATGTGCTCGAGAGGCTGCGGCACAGGCGGCCGCCTCGCTTCTCCCCTGGGTGTAGAGCGAGAAATCACTTGTTGCTGAGCTACAAATTGAGAGGTGCCTTCTGTGGCAGCCTGCACAACAATCATTTCATTTTCAAGTAGTTCAGAGTAAAACAAGCTCAGGCAGCTCCCACTGCCTGCTGCCGCCGCTGGCGAAGAGGAAGGCATGCGGGGTTTCATTATTCAGCTGCGCCATGAGGTCCCTAGAAGGGATTTCAGGTTTTTCTGCTGCTCTTCTCTCCACAGACTGAGGCCAGCTCAAACCCGAGAGGGTTGGTGGGCTTGGATCCAGAGGGACACAACACAGCAGCTTGGGATCGGCTCGGTCCTTGTGCACAGCTCCAAGCACTGTGAGGTGCTCCAAGGTCTCACGAAGTAGCTGTGTGGACAAGGACCACCACTGCTGTAAGAAGGTCTGCAAACCTTCACTGGTTTCCCATGAAGTAAAGAAAAATAAATAAAAAATGAAGGAAGGCCAGTTCTGCTGCCTTGCCTAATCCCCATGGTGACCCTTCGATATCCATTTACACATTTGCTTCTTCCCTAAAATAATTCCTGACTGAACCCAGACTCTAACAAAGAAAAAACCCAAATCAGTTTAACTTCAAAGGGCCTTTCAATCTCTCCTTCACTCTGATGAAATGAGTTTTTTGTTTTGGAGATGCTGCAACAATAAGAAAAGAAAAAGCTCCAAGAAAATATTTGTTCCCCTCTGCAAAGAAAATTGGCATTAAGAGAAAAAATTACCAGACCGGCAAGAGCCAAGTTTACAGAGGCAGCTCACTGAAAACCAGCAGAAAACATTTGCTTTAGCCTGCGTACCTTTTTGCTCAAGCACCCGTTGAACCTCTGTGTTTTAGTGTCAAGTGAAAAAAGACACCCAAATGCCAAGGAAAAAAATAAAGAAAAAGACACTTAATTGCCAAACAAACAAACTCATAAAGAAAACCACCCAAACATCAAGGGGCAATAAATATTGAGTAATAACACTGAATTTAAGTAATTAGAGTGCAAATAGGATGACTTGTATTTTAGGGTACAACGATCTACACTGAGCTACATTTAAGAGTCTTTGTTTAGATCTACCACGCTGAAGAAAAAAACCACACATTTTTGCCTAGAGAAAAGGCTTCATCCAGGGGCTGTGAGGAAGCTGTGTCAGAAGAGCACAGGGCATCACTGTGAAGATAAACTCTATCTCCTTGGTACTACAAAGGCAACGCTGTTGCCTCTCCCTGCAAACTGTTCCCCACCAATATCCATGGAGCATCACCACCACACCACTGCCAGCAGCAACATTAAGAAACAAAGGCAGAAATATCTGTAATGTCAGAAAAAGCTGCTGGAATTCACGGTTGGGTTTTACAGAAGCGATCTGACAACTGAAAGTACGGCAGGAGGATGAAACAGTCTGATGCAGGGCTGCTTTCTGGGGACATCTCCCAGGAGCCTGGATTTCCTGACCACTCCCAGCCCCAAACTTTTGGAATCTCTCTTCAGAGCGAGGTTTAACAGGTGGGGATGGGGCTGCCTGGGGGGATGCGCAGAGCCCGAGTGCCCCCCGATGGCCAGCCCGCCTCAGCACCAGCCTTCACTATCACTCACGATGAGAATCAGTTAGGATGAATTGCAACGTGCCAACTTTTGTCTGCATGTTGTTGCACCTGCATTTGGCAAAGGTGGCTTTCGACTCAAAAACAGCCTTCAGAGAGCAGGTAGCATGACTTCCAGGAGACAGATTAATCAAAGTTTAAAATACTTTACACCCCGACATAATAAAATTGCTCTCAGGTTCTCAGCTGATAATGCATTTTTAACCTTCGGATTGATTGGGAACAAGAGAGCGCAAACACAGTCCAAGAAAAATAAAGTGCTCACAGGGAAAATTCAGAATTTCCCAGAAATCTAGTGACCTCCACTGGCTGCATCCATTGCAGCAGCAGCACGGCAGAATGCCACACACGGTGCTGCCTTTGCCTGCTCCCACACCCTAGATTCAGCCCCGACTTCTGATACCTTTTCTCCCCCCAGGCAACCGTAAAATTTCACTCCCTCTCTTCTGCCGTGGCTCTTCAAACGAAAGCTGTGTCTCCGTGTGTGTAAACATTCCCCTGGTAAAGCAGACGAAGCTGCACAAGAGTAGTTTTGTAGCTAAACGTGGAGCGGGACAGCATTTGCGAGAGAAGAGGAAGCTCTGGCATGCACCTCGGAACAAAAGGGAACAAGTGGTCTTTACTCGGAGAGCAGCTTCCTATTAAGACTCACTCCTTCGTACATTATGCCTTTCATCCCCACTCAACCACAAAATGATTTTGCTGTAGGAAATACAATGGCAGAAAAAGATTTACACTGAAAGAATCTTTAATAATAAACTGTTGCAGATCTGCCTACTTCCCCATGATTTATAATACAATAAACATTGGATTCTATTAAGTCTCATGCACTGAAGACACGCACTGAAAACCCGAATATGAAAGCCGTCGATTCTTCCCGTCGCCAGCACCATAATAGTGAAATGAGCATGTATAAATGCGCTAAGAGTATCTCTTTGCATCTTTTATAGCTTGTGTGTATTAATCTGTAAAGCTTATTAAGAAAGTCATTGCTATGCAAAGCAGCACCCAATCTCTTTTTCTCGCTTTTCAACAGCACGCAGTGTTGAGCCAATAGGACCAGTCCCCCGGCCCTCATTGCGCATTCATAACATGCAACATTTGCACAATGTATCTCTCAAAGGCCGCTGAATAGAAAGCCTTAATACTCATGTAAACAACTGCAAACCAATTACTTAATGAATCAGGCCCACACATAATGAGGTGCCAGACAAAGAGCTATAAATGCATTTTTGCGCCCGAGCCTCTGCTTTAAAGTAAAATCCCTCAGCTGTAGTTTGGGCTTAACTGGCACATCATAATTATTGTCTGGAGGACATCAGAGAAGCCATTTTTTGTCCTTTTTTTTTTTATTTGGGTCTGGGCGGGTGTTCTGCAAGGGTCACTCATCAGCTCAGTGACAAAACGTAGCAAAGAAGAATTTATAAAAAGTAGCACAGCAGCGTGACGCGGTTATGTTTATTCTCAAGTAGTGAGTTTCGAGACCACTTGTAAAAGCAATAAAAGCCTGAGAAGTGAGTGCCCTGAAGTGGAGCACTGAAATGGGGGCGGCCAATCCTCCCTCTCGCGCCCCATTGCAAGGGTCCTTAATAAACTTCTGTGTTTAGAAGGCTGCAGCCTTCTAAAGTTAGACTCGACTAACTTTAAGCCGTTGTAAGATATTTGGGGTTTTGTTTAGTTTTTTTGGTTTTTTTCTTTTAAAGCAGCACTGTGTATCAGCACATGAAGTGTGCTTGCTTCTCAGCACCGACAGGCGTGACATTAGAGGGCTAAAGTGACTTATTTAAAATCTACTGCAAAGAAGAATTTGAGAAAAACGCCCCATACACCATGTGAACGGTGTCTGAAAAAAACATAGAAGTTACCAAACACGTTATTAGCAAGCAGTGCAACATCCATGGGGGAAAGGAGCTTGGAAATCTTTTTTTTTTCCAATTAAAAAAATAGTTCATTTTAACTTAGACCTATTTTATTCAGATGCTTAGCAATGATCTCGTAAGCAAGTTCTTCAGGACCCAATCCTTCTCCTTCTGCTGTCCTGGGCTTCAGTGAACAACTAAAACTTAACATCTAACAATCCATCTCTAGGAGCACCCTTGTCTTCCATAGCATTAAGTAATGTCATTGGGAACATCGCTCTCAAAGTTCCAGAAAATCGAAAAAGGGAAGAGAAATAAAACACGAACTAGGAAAGAAGAAAAAACAAACAAACAAACAAAACAACACAAAACACCCCTCAAACCAGGAAAAAATAAGAAGAGAAAGTAGTCTAAATATAAGACTATAAGAATTAATCTTAAATCAAAGCATGAATGCCATTCATCAATGCTCTTTATTTCCTGTACTTGAAGAAGTGCAGAAATACTGTGATTTTAACACAAAATGTGGAAATACCATGATTTTAACACAAAATGAAAAACAACGCTTGCAAAACTGGAATGGTGTCTCGTACCAAAACTGACCTCAGCAGTATGAGCACAAAACAAACTACAGAAAGAGAGCAATACTGTATAAAGAAGAGGTGTTAAAAAATTTCTCCAAACACTGCAGAGCCTCTCCTCAAAGCAGTTTTGAGGGCAGGAGCTGTGCAGCAGCCGCCCCCTCTTGCTGCCCTGGTGTTTTTTTTTTGTTTTTTTTGTTTTTTTTTTTTAAACCAACACAAACTGCACCCTTTAGGTACATGTAAGGCCATTAATTAAACATATTCAGTTTGAAAGCAAGAAAGGCATGTTGTAACTACTGCAGTATCAAATACAAAAAAAAGCCAAACCATCAACCAAACCCTAAGCCCGTTATCCAGTTACAGCTAGTTTACATCTCAGATACACGGAGAAGAAACCCACCACTTTATTTCTTGAAGACTTTCTGTTTTCTGCCTGCTCCTCTCCTGACAAGTCCCATTGTCTGGCCCCTGAGTAGCCCTACTGAGAGCAGCTGTACGCGCTAATTTGTGGTTCACTGAGATGTCAATTGAGTCTTAAAATGAGAAAACAACAGCTGCAAAACAATACTTGGCTTTAGCACAAATATTTTCTAAGGTGTAACAAAGTTTAAGATGTTTTATTAGGTAAACATAAATACGAATCTTAACCCTAGACCAAGTGGAAAAAAAATAACCGGAGCCTCAGTCATTTTCTCGTGGCATTTCTCCCTCTACAAAAGCATTTTGAACATTACAGGATTTAACAAGTTTACCTTGAGACAGAAGGACTTCTTTCAGTCGAGGAAGGACTCGTTTCCCGATGCATTTCTTGGCCTGGTTTTGCTTTGGCGCTATCATCGCCCCTGTCCCAACCTGTTAAGTAAAAATACAAAATATGAATTTTTGAACAGCGATGGCCAGACCTCACAGCAGCACCCTCTTAAATTCAAATGGATGCATGTTAACAGCCAAACCACTCTTGGTTTGAGGACAGATTCTAGCGAGAAGCACATATCATGCAGTTACAGTCTCTGCCTCAAGATCGTTTGCTTGTGATTACATGTAAAAATAGTTAAACCTACAGAAATCAAGACTCCCTCACTATCAATTAAGATATGTGATGATAATTTCTTGTGGAATTTCTGCATGTTTTACCTCATGCTGTGGGGGGAAGAAAACACTGAGATTATTCTAAGAGCTGCATTGCATCATGGCAACTTTAAGCAAAACTTTAAGAGTCAAAAGACCCCAGAAATACTTTTTTTTTTTAATCTCCAAGTTCTCACTTACTTTAGTTTAACAGGAAGCTAGGTTCTTTTAATTCTCCTTCCCCTTAAAAGTAGATTACTTTGGACAGTGGAAGTTCTTTTAGTATTGTTTGATACATCAGTGTATTAAACCATTCTTCTGAAATCGAGCTGCGTCTGGGAGACACAAACTTAAGCAGCCAAACATCCAACTATTTCAAAACCTTTTATCCACATTTTCCTTTTTGTCCTCCCCTACTGCACCCGCTCTCTCATTTCCATTCTGTAGAGACTGATTTAAAAAAAAAAAAGAGACAAATTAATTCATTCAGTGGTATTGCACAATTGCTCATCTTTGTACTCGTTTCCAATCAACAGGATACTTGAGTACAAATCCCCTTTTAAAAGGCAAAGATAGATAGAAGTGAAATTATAAATAAGCTCTGATTGTTACCAACTTCCCTCCAACCCAGGACCTCCAACCAGGAGGTGTTTCTGCACCTCTTGGACATTCTACTTTCCAACTGTCCATGCACATTACCAGCCCGCTCCATGGGATCGCATCACTCTGGGCTTGGATTTGGCAGCACAAACCCTGGTCCCTCAGGGCAGTGATGTGGAGCCCACCTTTGATCCAGGCAGAGCCACTACCAGTCGACACTTCAAAGTCCAGGTCTTTGCCAGCATTGCCCAAAACTCAAATCAGGGCACTGCAGTCGTGCAGCTCTCCCTACCAGCCTCAAAAGCCCATTCCACCATGCTTTCTGTGCCTGCACTGGCTCCCCTTCCTGTGCTACATCAAAGAGCAACACCAAGTACTTGTTCTTCACCCTTCAGGCCCTTTAGAGCCCAGCTTTGTCCCACCTGTCAATTAGAATACAAAGCTAGGCTACCAATCCCCACTTCTGCTTTAGCTACACCAGGCTGCCTTGCCAATTAGTCCTGCGGTTCTCCTCGAGCATCTCTGTGCTGACTTACACCCTACGTACCCTACACGCTCGGGAGATCCTTCTAGGAATCCGTAGGCATGCGGCAACAAACTTGCTTTGCCGCCCAAGCGATGGGTGCACCGCGCAGGGCAGAGAAAGTATGGGAAATACGCTGCTAGGAGAGAAAACCCGTTAGCACTTTGCTCTCGACACAACTGCATCCTACCATAAAGCCCTTCTGCAGATCAGTGCCTTCAAACTCAACTCTGGACGTTAATTATGCAGAGTTCTTAATCCCATTGTCGGAGCGATACTGCAGCAGAACGGGAGCTGGAGCTTCCCAGACGACACCGCTCTCCTCATGCCTCTGTCCCTCTGCATTGTTCCCTCCACTCAGGACAAGAAAAGGATCCGCGATACCACTATTAGTTAAAAATACCCCCCACTTTTCAATTTTGCACTAATTGTGCAGTCAGTACAGGTCAAAGCAGATCCAGTGTCAGCTTTTACAGTTTTGTTCTGAATAAAATCTATGTAGCTTTCTTCATTAGCCAACAATTCCAGGAAATAAATGCCATTGTTGCATAATGAAGCACTATTATTTTGTTCTGCCCAAGGGTCAAAAGTGATCTTTAGCCCAGAACATACTATACCAGGACAGAACTGAAAAGAAGGTATTTTCTCTGTGCATTGCCCCTGGGGCCTAGATTGCAGCATTTATCAATTTAAAGAAAAAAAAAAAAAAAAAAAAAAAAGGCCATTTTTTGCAAATTAAAAGATAAGGAAAATCTTGGCCTTGTACTTGCAACAATTATACCTCCCTAACTGTATTACCCTCTTGCAGAGGAAGAAGCCTATGCTTTTTAAACACTGAACCCAGTATTAAAGACCTTCACTGCAGCTGGTGTCCCAGCATAGAAAAGTCATCTGCAGACATCAAATCGTCTTTCTGCGAACAATCTCCAACGCTTGGCCCTGCCCGTCTGGAAACAGGAAAGGTAATTCACAGGGCTGCTGCTGGTTTTTAAAATGCAGACTGGGAAGACAGAAGTAGCGCTGTGTGTGTGTGTGTATGTGTAACCCATAGAGTCAGTGAATGAGCGAGAAATCTTCACCCTAAGCGACAAAGCCTGTAAGCCAGCCACAGAAGCAGTATAGTAGGTGCTGCTCTCCCAGGAGAGGAACAAGAGCACTTTGTATGCCACTTGAAAGCTGTAAAGAGCTATCATGCATTATTTCCAATAACAATCAATAATCCCCTAATGCAAACGGAGCGACACGGAGGGCAAAAGATGCCAGCGCTTTCGCCAACTCAACCCAGACACGTATCCACGTCCTCCTCCTGCATGCAAATGAGAGCCTACACCTCTCAGAAGGAACTTTACTTTTTCTGTGCACTTTTATTGCCAATAAAATAGTTAGCAGCTTGGGTATTTCAGCCGTCACTAGCCTTCAAAGCCAAGAATGCCCTGAAATGAATGTTATCAGGATGAGTTGAGCCTGCAAGCTGTGTTGTTTTAGTTACTTTGGCAGTAGTCACTGTGCTTGCATTCAGAAGTCCTGGCAGGCCTGGGCTGCCACACTGCTAGGTCCTGTACCAAAACCAAAAAAAACTAACAATACTTCCTGCCCAAAGGGACTTCAAAGCAGAACAAGTTCCTCCACCACATTAACACCAATTACCAGTGGACTCAGGAAATCCCAGAGGAGTAAGCCACCTAGTGAGAATATATCTAAAAGCTGCTGCTTCTGTTTAAAGATTGACAAATTTTTCACCCAAAATTAATAATTATAAAAAGATTCTGAGGTCTTTCAGGAACTTCAGTTGAGTGGCATAAAATACCAGCTACTGGAGTACATAATTCAAACTCATCTAAGAAAATGGACAATCTTACACCGTGCCAAGGTAACTCTGCCAGAGCACAACAGCAGCAGCAACTAATCACGTACAGACAAACTTTCGTTGCTAACAAAGGTTGCGAATGGGTTGGTATCAAATCAAAAGTTGGGCAGACTTATTAACGCCTTTATTAGCGCACTCCAAGTGGAACCTCGGGAACCTTTTAACTTCAAGCTCAAAGGACGACCTCGCTGGGAAGGATGCGTGGGTGTGGGAAAAGTGTTGGCAGGACGACTGGCTCATTAAAGGTGACCTAAAAAGGAAAGCAGAATTGGACTCGTGCTCTTTCATGTCCCTTATGATATATGAAGAAGGGTTTGTTTCATTTTTGGGATTTTTAAAGAGAGTTTTTCCCTCTTTATTCCTATATTGGAGATTTTCTACCTGGAGAGTAGCTGGAAACGAAGCCTCATAAGTGGAGAAGTAAATGCCATTTTTATTCAAATGCTTTATAGCTTTCATTCTATTTAAATCAAAGACTTAAGGGTAGAAAAAGAATTTGGTTTTGATAAAGATACTAAAAACTTGCCCCTTCAATAAAATCAGCAGTTTCCTACTCATAAGGGAGACTCTTGAACAGTTGTCCAGGAAAACAAGAAATAATGGGTTTTATCCTCTCCTTTTAATCTCATGTTATTTGCCTACCTCAGGAGCAGCAAAAACCTGAACAATTTCTTTTACATGTCTTCCCATGATAAAAAACAAAGAATCCACAAAGAAAATAAGCACAAGTTTACATCTCCTCCTCTATCCTCATACAACCTCGTATAAAATGAGACTGTTGTTAATAGCTAACTACAGAAGCATTCACAAAGGGCCATCACAGAAGACCGCTTGGAAGCACATCCACCCAGCTCTCAACACAAAGTCCATCAAAACCTCAAAGCTCCAAGGCTTCCAGAGTTTCAAACCAACACTTGGAGTTCTTAAAAGAATGCAGCAAGCACTGGAAAAAAACCACACCAAAATTTGCATCCTTAAGCTTAGAAAAAGTTGCATAGCAAAAGGATCACGTATAGAATGGACATGAAATACCGATTCATCTAAAAACACAAAGCCAAGCCCTACAACAAGTCACCTGAGACCAAAACTCAACGCGCAAAGATGCTGCCTCTATTTTAGGTGCAGATCAATTTCAGAGCTCCAGGACCACAGCCTACAGAAAATAATGACGAGCAAAAGGGAAAAAAGCGACAGGCTGGGAGGCCGAGGAGCCAGAAGAGAACAAGAAGCCTGGAGAAGATCACGGGCTGAAGATGAATCGTGCTGAAAGGGGCAACTTTGCTTTCAAGTGAGATATGAAAAGCCTCGCTCCCAGAGACAACGCCACTGCCGGCTGCTGGAAACAGGCTGCAGCAAAACAGTAACTAAAGCAGATGCAGAAAGAACTGGGTGTAAACTGAAGTTACTGGTCTCAGCGTTTAGGTTAGGGAGAGTTTCTCAGCATTTTTACAAATAAGAAGGGCACCGGTGTGTGGCCCCAGTAACAGAGAATTCCCTGACAAGTCTATGTGCAAAATCACAGCTAAACCAGGACTAGGAAGTCAGAAAACCCAAGGTGTGGAGAAGCAAACCAGAGCACTGACAGCTGCAGAGATCCAAACTCAAGAGCCAGCATTATCCTTTATTAAAAAAATAAAATAAACAGGACCAGCGATGGCATCAGCTGGAGGGACTCACGGTTCCCAACACAGTCCTTGGCGGCTCTCTCTGCAGCTCAGGGAACTTCAAAAGCCCAGCCTTCAAATTTGAATCCTCTTGGATCATAAAAATAAAACCAACCCAATCCCAAGATTTGCAAAATTTTAGGGTAGCTTTTGAATGACAAGTGTGTTCTGCTTCATGAAAAAAATTAATTGGTTTTTAATTCCTCTGAAAAAAAATCAATGCAATCCACATTTTAAAACACATTGCTGTGCACTACTGACGGATGCTTTAAGAAGCAGGAAGATGGAAAGAATTTATTCTTTAGTAAAAATATAAACCTGAAGTTTTATTGGGCTAATATATGAATATTATTGCTGCAGTATAATTCAGAAAAACAAGAAGCTGATTTTTATATTCCAGCTGCAAATTAGGCTCAAAAAGCAGCAGAGGAAAACCTCTATAGAGAAATGAATTGCTCTCGGAAAGACAGGCTATTTTGGAGCCGTAAAAGAACAGAAAAGCAACAGCGAGCATTGCATAAGCAGATGCCCTCTCACCTTTCTGTCAGAAGAAGACATCTGCATAAATAAATATTTAGCCAAACATCAAAATTTATATGGAAGCAGCCCATCACTTTACAAAAATTGGGCAAAAGCAAACTGAGACTCATGGCCAAGGGCCCTGCCCTGAATACTAACATGTTATTGATACCCCAGGACTGAAGAGTGGCAACGTCTCGGGATCCTAAGCGAGCCTCATGCATCTGCTGCGGGAAGATCTGAACACATCTAAATAAAACCTTATTGCTAAAAATTTTGCGTTATCAGGCAGCTTTGTAGCAGAGGTACGGCTTCCCGGCTCGCCAGGTTTTTTCCCTGCGCTTATTCTAATGATACACATTCAATTACTCAAGGAAAGAAAAGAATCAAAACGGAAACATCTGTAGTTTGCCATATAATTACTGGATCTTCCCCACGGAGACTGACCTTTGTAACACTGATACCAGGACCTGGAAGGCTAAATTACAGGATATCCACATGGTTTAAATGTATAACGTGATTACAAGGAATTAAATAGGTGCTGTTATTTGCCATCTTGGTTTATGTTAACATCAGTGTGGACTTCATGATCTTACATTTAATCTTTGCGCTTGGTATGTAGTAGCCGAATTTACTCACTGCTAGTGGGCCCAGACCGCTAAAACGCCAGGTTTTGATTACATAATAAAGTTGAATACTGGATCCAGCCATTGCTTTTACCTGTAATAGGAATCTTTTTGACCACGTTTTCTTCCTTGCTTTCATCTCCACACCAGCTTGTGACTTCGGGATGTGAACACACTATAATGAAACATATTTCAAAGTCGCAATGATCAGACTGGTTTGCTTGCTTTCAAACCGTACTCCCTTTAATTTTTCACTTTTGTAATCTCTTGTTTATTGATCTAAGCTATCCATTACCGTTCTTGAAAGTGGCACCTACTGTGAACTTTCCTCGCATGCGAGGCTACCCTGCCTCTCTGTAGCTCCCGGAGAAAAGGACAAGCTAACCAAATGTCTTAAATTATTTAAGACCCAATGGGATTTAGGAAACAAACAACTGGCAGTAACTCTGCCATCTCCTCCTGCAGCCCGACAGCGGCAGTGTATATCATACCCGCTGTCGAAAATTAGTCTAAATCAAAGTCTCCATCTCCTCCGTGGATAAAAGTCGCATGAATTTAGGAGGCCTAAAGCAGTTTGTTTACATTTTCTGTGTAAAGAGCACTGCGACCTAATTGCCTGTCTCTTCCGGACTTTGATGTAAGGGATGCTCCAAGAGCAGACTGAGCAAGTTGCTGTTGTTGGTTATTACATCGGACAAATAGAACTTCCTCATCTAAAGAAATTAACTGGGTTTTCACATACTCATTCGCTTTCTAAGCTCCAAAACAGCACCGCACACCTTTCTCAGGAGTCCTTTTATTTTTGATAATTTACTCTGTGATACGGCTTTATAACAGAAAGCAATAAACACCCCTCACAATTTCTAAACGGCAGACCTTTTTTACATATATGCACAGCTATAGATCTGCTTTCAGTAACAGCCACAAAGCTTGCTTTTCTCCTCCCGCAGAGAAAAAGTAGTCGTGGTAGGCACTCGTAGAGCTAACGAGAATGCCAAGTGATACTGAGATATTTAAGAAAATCCCCTAGAGGTCCTTACAAATATGTACTAATTTGCCAGTTGGTATATCACGGTCCCTTGCAGATTCAGATAGAAAATACATATGTGCAGAGCAGGACAACGAGAGTGCAGCTGGACCTTTTAACACTCATTACCTTGCTCTCCCGCAACGGTGAGCTGGGGAGCATGGTTTGCCTGCTTTATTTCCCCGCCGTCGCTCAGGATCGCTGGCAGATTGCAAGATGATTCATTGCTCTGAAGAGATGACCTATCCCCACACTCTTCTGGAAGGACCTCCCTCAACACCGGTAGAGCCTGCAGCATTAAAAAAGTAAAAATAGCCACAGCCCAATTATCCTTCGCCTCCAGCGTTTTTCATCATATGTTTAGGCTAATCTATACTTCACAGCGTAATCTGTTTCCTGGGTGTTTTTGTTAGATGTTGAATTACCACCTTGGTGCCTGGCTGCACTGCAACAGCAGCCTGGAGGGTTCTTGACAGATCTTTAAGCTCTCAGAGAAAGAAGTCATCAACACGGGCCAAAAAGTCAAACTTTGGAGTTGTAAATATTTAAGAAGATCACTTACGAGTTCACTTCCTGTATGCTTTACATGCATGTTTACAGTAAAGCAACTGGTCCTGTACAGGCATGTTGTATAATTTAGGTTTATCCCGCTCCATGCAGCCTGCTTGGAAATAACATAGAGGATGTACCCTGCACTACATTTAATTGACTGGATCTGCTTCATAGGTAACATAAACATTACATGCATGTGTGGGCCACAGGAGCATGCAACAACACACGGATTATTGCCACGTATATTCACCACAAAGCTTGCGTTATCGAGCTTTGACTTTGCACAAGTTCTTCCACGCATTTATAAATTTATGTACAGTATTTGTTTATCTGTCACCAGTGCAATGATACGTTCCTTGCTCATCTCTTCTACTTGACTGAATGTTTTAAGGACAGAATACAAATTACTTAGCCACATACAGAAAAAGAAGTTACTCTGGCTATAACTGGAAGTGTGTCACTGACTGAAATATTCCATCTTCACTATTTGTCTGAAACGCTATTAAAACTAGGACATACCAAAGCACTTCAAACTGCTTTTTAATTTCTCATTGAAAGTTGGAAGAAAAGTATTTTTAGCAAATATTTCTTGGAGCAGAGCCAGCAGGCTGCCTGGCAGAGCTTCCCGTTCTCACTGCAAGCAGCCGGGATGTCACCCCCTCGGTGCCAGGGTCCCAGCTCTCCTGAGTTTGCAGCAAAGGCAATCAGGGTGCTCAGAGGTCTACAGAATGCCAAATATAATTTATTTATTTTTTAAAGTTAGTTTATAACATTTTTTTAAAAACGAGTGAGCATGTAACTATTTGTAAAATGCATGTTACTATTTGTAAATGTAAAATGTGTAGCCAGTGTAGCAAACTTAACTGTTAAAAAAAAATAAAATACATCATTCATGATAAAAAGCTTCTAAGCTGGCAGAGAAAGATAGATGATAGAAGCTTTGTGATAAATTCACACCACAGCAAATGTGTGAGCTTGTTTAAATAAATAACTGGTTTGAAGGGTGGGAAACAAACACCCTCCTGGAGACTTTCGAGAGACTGGCTTTTTCATGTGATCATACAGTGTGATGAAGGTTGAAGTGCTGTGTTTGCCCCAAGACAACTGAAGAGCTCATATTATCTCCTCCTAGCAATTGGCAAGGCCAATTAATGAACAGATACTTGTCGTTCCCCTTAAAGCCCACACCCTGGATCATGTCTCACCCTAACAGTAAAAACTAGTCTCTGGGTGTCATCAATTTTGATATTATTAGATGCAAACGCTAACCTGGTTGTGCGGCACCTCCTCGCTGGAAGCCAGCAGGCCTTCAAACATCGTCGCCACCTCTTCCAGGAGCTGAACCTGGTGCTTTTTCAAGAACAAGGCGTGGTTGCTCAAGTGAGTCCACGGCATGTCCACGTTCTGCGGCTGCTCTGGCCTAAGAAACAAGCCAAGGGTCATTAGTGGGAGCTCCCCATGCACATGACTTGCACTACTCGTTCATCTGGACACAGCACTAAAAGCCATTGCCCATTTTATCCTTAATTCCTGCTTTTTCTCCTAAAAACATCCAAAGTGAGAGTCGTGGGGAGACCTCACATACTCCATGAGGTATTCTGCTGCGCACCCAACACCCCAGACTCAGCTTTTTTTATGTTTGCCCTCAGAGTTATTGTTAATATTTTTGAGCAAAAGTGCCCTTTCATGCTGAAATATAAATACTGCTATCTTGTTTGCCGAAGATGTTTGTTTTTTCCCAGTTGCTCCAATGAAGTTCCACGAGCAGAGAAGTAAATTTCAATTAAATCCACAAGTGTTTGTCCCTAAGAAGCCATTTGGGAAATACAACAACTTATTAGTGCTCACAGGCGTACCGGCCTCGAAAGGAGAACCAGGTATAGTTAAATAGATCATTCTTCAGCACTCACAAGAGCCCCAATCCCGCTAACACTTGAGCATTGCTGAGCCTCTAACAGAGAGGAAGGTCTAGACAGAAGCTAAGAAAGAAAGATGGAAATTGTTTTTCTTACTGTATTAGCGAGACTTTAAAAAAAAAAGAAAATTAATTCTTGCTTGTCCTTGTGGCATACGCACAGAAAAAGAACAAAAAGTCCCATTTTGAATAACTGCAGCTTATTGTTTTTAAAGGCTACACGCATCTTCTGCTTCACAGAAAAACAATTTGCTTCTCAAAATTACATTCCCTATCCTTACGAGCCTGAGACTCATGTTGAAGATCATAGAAATTACCAGCTAAGAGGTCTCTGAAGTTAATATATTTCCTTCACTGCCTGAGCAGCCTAGGGTGGGAGACACTGTGGACTGGGTGAGACAAGGGGATCCAGCACGAGTGCTGCTGTCTGGCCAAATAAGATTCACTATCAGTGAATGAAAAGGAAAGTAATGAATTTGTTTGATGTTCTCATTTGAGTCGCATGGCTGCTGCCAAGATGCGTAAAGATCAGCGCTCAAACATCTTCATTTTCCTGTACAATCGGAGGTCTGGCCTCTCTGCACTAGAGAGGCAGAGCAGGCTTGGGGAGGGAAGAAAAGCATGCTCATCACACCCACACCAAGTCCTGTGCCTGCAATACCTGGTTTGCTTTTCAGCCACCGCTCTACCTTCAGCATCAAGTGTTTTCTCAGGTGGGAGCCAGCCATTCAGCGTGCTCTGTGATAATGCCCGAAGCTGATGAAGGACGACCGCTTCACATGCTTCAAGGTCATCTTCTCCCAGACCGACGGCCCCATTACAAAAGCTACAAAACAGAGCAGGTATTACATGCAATGTTTATTTAAAGCCCAGAGAGACAGCATCAGTTTGGAGGCAGAATCTTTAACACTTCTCCTGGCTAACGGGACACCCCGGAGGAAGAAACATCCATGATGCTCTCTGGGAAGGACAGAGGACAGTGAAGTCAAATCCAGCACTTCAAAAATGTCAGGTTTGATCTCACACCTTTGTTTTGACGGGGAGAGAGGAACTTGTGCACATCCACTCGGTGAAGCTGCTTCTTTTGTGGGCAGCCCCTGCTATGCCGCGGCCAAAGCGGTTATGCTGCAGGAATCTACCTCCAGTGGTAGGCTGGAAGGGCCAGGTCAGTTTAGGAACCCTTCCTCCTAATCCCATTGAAATCCTCTAACCATCAAGTACTTACAAGAATACTAGTTTATGGAGGTTGACCTATAATTTTAAATAAAACTCCTAGTTCTTGTAATTAAGCGTCTGTGCAGTGGAGGGACAGTCAGGGCTCTCTGACCCTGGTTCTGTTAAGACCTGGCTTTTGGTGATTCTCTTTGCTCTTTTACCTTAAAGAAGAATTATTTTTCTGGTTATTGTCATCTACCTCAGTAAATCATACTATCATGACTAGCTAAGAGGATGCTCTCATTCTTGGAAGTAAGTATTTACTTCACCTATGGGATCTGTGGAGCAAGGCTGCAAAAAGTGCTACATTTAGGAAAGAGTATTTGTTGGAGTAATTTTTGTACGCAACTGAGTGCCATTATTTCAGCCCTCCAACAACATTAAAACTGTGGAAGGCCTCTTAGCAACTGGCAAGGTTTGTTTGCAGGAACCCGCTCGCTCTTTTCACCAGCAATTTGTCACAGCAAGAGCAAAGATCATCACTTTAAATCTCATGGGGCTCCTGCAAAGCCGCTCAGTAACAGCCTCTCGCCACTGCTCACCCGAGTTAAATTAGAAGCATATAAATGATCAACAACAAAATCATTACAAGCTCTACGTAAGCGAGCAAACAAGAAGAGAAGGGGGATGCTGAGGCAAGTCACACTCACTTGATCGGCTCCACTGTCCCCATGTGCTCGCCCTGGTAGAGCACCTGGTGCCAGGGGCTCGTCCTCGCCACCACATCCAGAGAGAGTCCCGTCGGCATCACGCTGTACCTGCGGATGGACAGCAAAAGGGGTTGGGAGTGACCTGGCTTGCAGGTATTTTAAATACATTCCTGTCATACCAGTTGGAAAAATAGACATCATCTGTTTAGCTTTTCAAAGAAAAAACAAAACAAATTGCTCAAGCTCTGAAGAAAAAAAAAAAAGCACAAGCCACCAAAAAAAATCAGCAAGGGCCTGCACTGAAATTACACCACACTAAGTAGTTTAATTCCTTCACCTCCACAATCGAAATAAATCTGGTGACCACCTACAGGTATGGGGACATAACTGAGACCTCAGATGGGTTTTGATGAAGCTGCACCTCTATAATGATGCAAATGAGTACTTAAACAATACAGCAGACTAATCCTTGAACAGAGGTGTAAATGGCTATTCAGGTCCAGGACGGCTGCCTGCTTTGTTGGGGACTTTCCTGGCCAGGTCTCCACCAGCAATGCCCCAGCTGGGCCTGCACCCACAGAGCCTCACGAGGAAAATAAAGATTACTTTTTTTCCATGTGTAGAAGCTGACATATTTATACAGTTAAACTGGGTTTACATTCCCTCAGGAGCAAGGCATGGTGCACAAAATCAGGCATTGTTTCTGCAGTCGCGCTAAGCTGCAGCAAAAGTTGTGCTTTCCATCACGCTGTTGGGCAACAGTGAACAATTAAGTGCCTTTAGCTGAGTTTCCTAGACATTTAATAAGCAAAACAATACCAGGGAGATCACATATGCAGTTAAACAGTGCTTTTTCTTTTTGCCCAGTCTTTACAAACCCTCTATTTTAGCGGTCAGCTCGTTTCCCATTGTTTTCCTCCCGCTGGGTGGTCCTTCCAGGGTGCCACTCGAGAGGGATACAATAATAAAAAGGGAAGGGGAAGGAAGGGACACCAACATAAAGAAAAACAAAATGTATGACAATCTGCAGCAGGCTACGGATCAGAGGTCAGCAAACAAGAGGTCCTTCTCTTTTACAGGTTGCTTCCTGGAAACAGTCTGATTAAGCTGACAGCTTGAATTATGTGTTACATTTTGTAATGCACAATCCATCTGTGCTAAGTCCTCTTCAATGCAGCTGAAGCAGCACAGGCATAAGCTCTGCCTTTTTCCACCCCCTCAGCACAGGCGTTAAAATAGTCATCATCTTTCTCCATCCTAATTCTCCAAGACCCTCTCCCCTCCCTGCCCCTGGGTTTAAGCCCTTAAAGAAAGGGCCGGGTGCCGTAAGAAATGGTAAGAAGATATGGAGCCATTCACCTTTTTTCAGACCAGCATCGAGCAGTAGAGGATGGGAACTATGAGTGTCTTCACCTGGCAGGAGGGGAGATAAGGTGCCTTTAGGGTGCTCTCACACAAGTCCCCTCCTGCTCACCAGCAGGAAAAGACATAGCCCAGGCTCTCACTTGGGTTTGAGTTGGCAGGATGGGTCAGAAAAATGCATGCAGACAGCCCCTGACCAACACACCTACCCAGCAGTGCTCGGAAATGCAGAAGTTACTGGGTAAAAAAATGGTAATTTTTAATAAACTAAGGTAGCAAAATCACAGCAGCCTACCAAGGGCTGCAACCAAGGCACAAACCATATGCTAAACAGCCTTTCATAGCAATATGACCTTTCTTTGGTTGACACCTCAATGATGTTGTCACGATAACCATTCTTCCAGCTGGAAAAAGCTATATGAGACTCAGCTGAACCCGCCCAGAAGTAAAACACGACCTGCAAACACTTACTGCGGGCGGGGGGGAAAACCCCCTCACAAAGATCCATAAAAAGACAACAGCATCTCTGCTATAAGGTAGGAAATGTGTCTTCTCAAAAAAAGTAAACTTGTGACTTCCTGGCATGCAACGATGACTGTTTTGCCTCTCGAATAAGCTGTGGTCTTGGCAAGCAGAAAGCTCCTTTCAATTCCCATCACTTGTACTAGTTTCAAATAATATACCAAAAGTGTATGACAAATGGTCCAAAGATGACAGGCGAGGGAACAGTACTTTGTTCAGATGCCACAACAGTGACACCGCTGCATTAGGGAAAGTCCAAGCTACAGATATTTCAATTTAAGATGACAAATATACATAGTTCTGCATAATTTCAGCATATTTTTTCGGTCAGCACAGGAATTTTGTAAAATAAAACATACATGGACTGAAGGGACATCACAAGACCTGTGATAATATTCATTCTCTCAATCTCTAGCATGATATATTCAGAGCAAAGAAAAAGTTACATTCTCATAGTTTATGTATTTTATACAATTGAAATTTGTGCACTGATAACTTGGAAACTTTTCCCCAAGGCTTTCAGTTCATGAATTATTTTGCAGGACTCAAGTATGGACACTGAATTTCACGTGCATTGGGAAGATGGGCTTGGAAAGCCCACCCCCCGGTTATGAGTGCAACAACAGAAAGGCTGTTTACCCCTCCACAAGATCTTCCACAGCTGTGTCTCTTGCAATTTCACATGGGTTTTAATTTCCAGGTAAAAACAAATTAAAATTTGTATCTTTTCTGCAGAAACAGCTAATTTGTATCTTTTCTGCAGAAAGAGCTAACAGTGGCAATCTCACTTCTGTGGCCTTGAGAAACGGAGGCATTCAGCTCAGCATAATGCTAGAGGAAACCTCCGCATTCTGGCTTCAGTCATGCTCCGGAGATAATGCGAGCGATGAAAACCTTTTGTATAATTTAGCTGGGCTTCAAGAGCATTGCACAGTATTTTCATCAGCTTATGAACAGCAAGGCATCACTAGCCTCGACAAGGAGAGAACAAAAGGTTAAGTTACTGTCGCTCAGCTCTGACTTCTCTAGTAAAGGCAGGCACTCTGCAAAATTCCTCTACAAAGTGTTATGATTAACAGGTGTTATACAAAAGAAAAAACAGATACAAGCTATTTAGATGTTAATTAGATGACGTTTCCATAGCAAGCAACAGTCTGATGCAAACATGAAATTATAAGGTTACAGAAGTGTATGCTGATGGCCACTAGTTTCTGCTCAACTGTCACCTATTAAAATACATACCAATATTGAAATCGGTACCTAAGACAACACAACAACAGATTTGGGAAGAAGAGATACATTAAGCAACTTAAAAAAGCTGCAAACAACCAAATCAGAAAAAAACAAAACCCAGCTGGCCAAAGAGTACTCCTCATTCTACAGTGGTAAAACACAGTGGGCTTTTTTTTTGTATGTGACCTCCTCCCAGTGTACAGCCACCACCTAACCACCCTTTAACAGGAGCATCTTGCACATGAATAGCGCCCGCACTATTTCCGAGGGGAATGGCACCTGCTGGAATGCACCACATGCCTGCAGAAAAGGCTTTCTTCAGTATTTCTTTTGTGAGTGGGAGCAGGAGAACACTGTGAGGAGGGAGAAGGGTGTTCAGGATACAGAGGACAACAAAAGAGAAGTATGCTGCAAATGGAGAGTAGGCAGGAGAAAGGCAGCAGTCACAAAATTGGAGGGTCAGGCTGCAGCAGGGCAGCCGGAGTGAAGGGGGATGGAACAACAAACATACCTTCTCCACATGTGACCCGAATGAAACACCTAAAGTCCTTTAACCACCAGCACAGAGACAGCATGATACCAAGTAAGTAAGAAATTTGCCCACTCATACATCAGCCAAGCTGTGAGAACGGCCTCCAGGGCATACGCTAACGCACGACTACCAGCACAGAGAAAATACGTAAGGACATACCCAGCCAGCGCTGGGGTACCTGACGGCTCCTCCTGCCCGGAGGGAGGGTTTGGTGGTTCTGGTGGGGAACCCTCTGCAGCATAGGCATCCCTGCCCCGCTCCCAGCCAGCTGACAGCACGTTGGGAGTGCTCAGCATCACCTCCTCGGTGCTCCCCAGGACTTGGAGCTCATCGCTGCCTTCGCAGCTCACCCTCTTATGAGTCCTCAGGTAAGGCTTTGGTCCTGTAAAAAAAAGGATTAATAATAAAAAAATTATTTCCGAGGCATTAGCAGGACCAAGGATTACATAATAGCGTACAGAATTAAACTAATATTACCTATGATTTTGTTCACCTCTATCACTTAACCCATGTTGAATGAGCATCCCTCTGCACTCCCCTCACTTTGGGTTTCCCTGCTCACGGCCTCGTGTCCTTCTGCTCTCCTCTCACAAGGGGGAGTCCGGGGAGGCTCCAGCCTTTCGGGTTTGCAGCTCCCGGCAGACAGGAGGCAAACCCGGCACTCCTTAAAACCCATCACCCCTACAAAGATCAGGCTACTTCACCAAATCATCTCCAGAGGAATGATGACACAGAAAAGTTGAAAAAAGCTTTTCTGAAGGGGGAAAAAGTGCACCTGAAGAAGCTGACATTGTTCACATTTTTAAAACTTGCGAAAGAAACACATCTAGAGATTTTGGAACACTGCTGCCTTGTCTAAAAGAGGAGAGTACAGGGCTGAATCACATTTCTAAGACAACACATACACGCTACTTTATCTTTTTACAGAATGCCAAAAGTTAAGGGACCAGCTAGCGCTGTAACAAATCAGTATCGCTACAGAAATTCCCCGTTTTCCATGAAATCCACCATGGGTTTAAAGGAATCAGCATCTGCACCTCACTAACACTACAGCACCCAGCATTTCTGCTTGTCTTGGTCATGCAGTTCACTGGAACCGCATCACTTGGAGTTTATGCCAATCAGTAGCTGGTGCCAGGACAGACTCTCTTTGCCTCATTTCCAAATCTCTGAATTAAGTGTCATCCCCTCACTTGCTGGGAAATGAGGATGGAAAGGAACAAAGTTTTTTCTCCAGCTGTGGAGGGAGGAGGGGGTAAGAGGGGTCATTTTGTTGCTTCATTATCCTGGGGAAAACAAGATTTGCCCTGGAACGCATCAACTCATTCACTTCACAACACATATTTGGCAGCAGACAGACACAAAGAGCCCCCAGGTGGTCTGAGGTGATCACCAGGCTGTTTGACAAAACACTCATTTTGATTTTGAACCCAACCGTACAGTTTCTCTAAAGGCAGAGATACTGCATTCCAGAAATGAAACGAGTATTTCTTTCCCAGGCACGATGCTGGCCACCTCAGGCTTCCCTACAGGGAGGAAGCTGTGCTTTGCAGAGCCTAGAGCCAGGTTCAACTTGTCTCCTTCCAACACGAGTAAGGACAGGCTTTCATTAAAACAAAGAAGTGGCAAATGCATCAGATGAAAGAAAAAGAGGCAAATAAATTCCTCAGAGAAAGAAAAAGGAATGCGAAAGGAAAAACCCTCAAGGAAGATGTCAGAAAACCCATGAGAAATACAGAAGGGCATCTGATGGGGACACCAGCTTTCCTCTATTAAAAAAAACCCTCAATGGTTACAGGAGAACAGGAGCACCTGTGTCATTAGGTTGCCCTATTTCCACTCTAAATAGCATCATTATAGCAGCTATTATGGGGCTTAGAAAACTAGTTTAAGTTGAAAATCACTACATTAACTGGCAAGGCAAGGGAGAGTATCTCTGCAAGATCTTAGAAAAAGGAATAGAAGAAACTAGCAGCTGGAGGCATCGCTCTGACTGGGATGAGCATGACCCAGCATGGAGCCGAAGCAGACAGGCACGCATCCCACCACACCTGAGATGCTTCCCTGCAGCTGTTCCTCGTCCTCAGTGGCTGGTTTAGGGTCAGGCGCTGAGGAGATGAGCTGCTTGGAGCCTTCTTCATTGTTGGCCTGATCCCTTCGTCTCGCTGCTCCATCGCTCTCTGAACTAGCGCTTCTGCTCTCTGCACCAAGCCCCTCAAGTGGTGGAGAGGACGGAGGCAAGTCAGGTGCCAAGCAGCTCTCTATGGGCTCGGGGGGTTTCTGCCACGTGCCCAAATCCCCAGAAGCTGAGACAGCTGGTGTGCGGTGCCCCATAAAGACTGTTGCTGGGTGATACAGTCCTCTTGGCACGGCTGTCATCAGGCCGATTCCTGCCTGTCTTCCAACCTGTGGCACCTGCAAAACACAAGTGGGAGAAGATTTAAGGAAGCAAAACAGTGAGTATGTTGCAAACAGAGCTTCTAGAGGATGGTATGTGGGTTTCTGGAGAGAAAAGTGTCACAAAATTCAAGCATTTTCTATAGTATTATGACAAGAGAAATACTTGGCATGTATTTCTTGCAACCTTCTCATGATCTTCTCTAGGAGGTACCAGCAGAAGGAAGAGTCCCCAGAGAGTGTGAAACCCACACCTGCCATTGCTTACTTGTCTATATATCCAGCTTTGCTCACAGCATGGAAACAAAGCAAATAATGAGGCAGACCCCACTGTATTCATTTTTAACCTTCTGCTCTTTCCTGCCTGTTAAATTGCACCAAAGAAGAAGAACAACTACTCAGTTAACATCACAGAGATGAAATCGCTTTTACCACAAGTCAACTTGAGGCACCAAGCAGAAACATTTTAAATGGCACTTTCCTCCAAGAACTGTTGAACTTGCATAAAAATAGTTCCAAGAGTATAACCACTCTGTTTCTAAATCCCAGTGTTTTAATGCTTGCCTTTTTTAATTTGTAAACCTACTCAATCAGAACAATTTAGGAGGAGTGGCTACCACCATTACTACTACAAAAAGGTCACCACCAGTTTATACAAAGCCAAAATTAGCTATCATAATACCACTGTTCAGACTAAGCAGGGCTTATTTTTCAGCCTAAATCACAGCAGGACAATTTACAGTCACCTCCACACCTCTCTCCCCTCTTTCATTGCCTGACCTCTTCCTCTCACACAAAGTCAGCTGCCAAGCCCAGCTTAAAGGGAACAAAGGCAACTTGTCTAGTCTGTGACCAAGTTTCATTAAAAAAGCTCAAATTCCACGTAACAAGAAGCAGAACAAAAAGCCATGAAGTTATCTTAAGAAGGAGTAAAGGTTTGCTACTCAGATTAAGTTCAGAGCTTATTCCATCACCACTCCTCTTGGGTTCCTCCTAATTACTTTTTGGGTCTTGTATTTGCTGCTTTAAAATGCATCTAGCGAGTACGTTGACAGATTTAGCAGCTCCTGGATGTAGTATTCCAAAACAAATGCAATTCAAACAACTACAAGTGCTTGGCACAGTCACAGCAGATGCAGATCTCAAACAAGTTCCTCTTTGACTGCAGAAAAAAAAAATAATAATCACCGATGAAGACATCGCCTTTGCATTCTCAAATCAAAAGTTCAACAGATAACGTGGTCTACGTGTTGTTTGTACTGTCAAAACAGGAAAAACGTGTAGATGACTTACCTGAAACTGTCAACAAAATTACTGAACTTCATGTCACTCCAGCCAGGAGTTAAATGAAGTCTCTGCACAAAGCACACTTACAATCCTCTTTTTGGTTGCAGAGTGCAGGCTCCTCGCTTCTTCCTCCAGTAATAATTTTTTTTTTTAGTTATCATTAAAGTGTCTTGAAGAGAATAAAGCAAAAAAATCCCTTCCGTTAGGACTTACAAAAGGGCCCAGTCTCCCCCAGCAGTAGACGACCATGTGAAAGCTAGGATACCGACCTCCTCTAGAAGACTGATTCTGTGATTATCCTTCTTGGTCTCCAGGACACATCACTCATGAGGTTATCACACGATCACCAGCACCCTGACTAGCCTGAAGGAAACCATTACAATACTAGTGGCTGGTAAATAAAACCAGCTCCAAGCTGCAATGCTGTGTATCCTGGGTATAGCACCTGCTAACTGCATGCATTCCCTATGACTGACTTGGTGCCACATCGCCGGGAACAAACTCATCTGTTTTGGAGATTTTAAGGGAGGTGAAGGTGGTGGAAAATGGGCACAATCAGTCCCCCCCCAAAAAAGTTACAGAGTAAGATCTGAGAAACAGCACATAAACGAGGCATAAGGATGCACAATTTAGCTGAAGTTATCCTTGCATTTGAGGGAGATGAGAAGGAGAAAGAAGGGGGATGACAGAGTCCACAATGAAGCTACTAACTGCAAAGCAACATATTTGGGTAAGCACCAAGTTCTCGTACTGTCCAAAACCTGCTAAGTTTTGACCAAAAGCTAAGTCACACCGTGAACCTCTGATGCTCTAGTATTTATGTAAACTTTTCCATAGATTAAAAATCATGTCTTCTACACCTACTGTTTTTAATTGAAGAATCTAGCATTCCAAAATAACCTCACCTTTTCATGTACATCTGAATTAAAAATGTAATTCGCAAACTGCTGGAGGCCTGCTTATATAGGTCAAGGTTGCATGGGTTCGTTGCTTTGTACATTACAGTTTAAAGAATGCTCTAAATTCAAGGTTTTTAACTTTTTAATCTATGGGGAAAACTTCCTGTAAACTCAGATTAACAACTGCTAATGCACTGAAGAAAGAAAACTGAAAACCTTCCCCCTACTATAAAAACAAAATAGTGTGGCCTCTGTTTCTTTTCTGATAAGAGTCTTAAATACCAAACATTTAACTGCATAATAACATTTACTGGCAGCCAGGCAGCCTGCTTAGCAGATATATAAAGCAGGTAAAAGGAGAAAAAGTTAATTTCTTGGCTGAATGATTCCATCGGTAGCTATAGGGCAAACTAGAAAGTCTTTTAGTAAAGTAGCAGTTGATTCTTCTATCAATCTGCAGCACACATACTCTTCCAAGGAATGCATTAAATATGAAAATCATATCCTGTTATCATCTGTTTCCAGCTTTCAGCCCAGTAAGCTTTTCTTAATGAATGCTGTAGCCTAAGGGACAAGCATGCTGTTGGCTTTTCTGAATAATGGAGTGATGCTACCATTTTTGCTTATTACAATATCGCCTAGCTGAGGGGGTTTCACACATAGTCACAAGTGACTACTCTTGCCAGCATGCTCCAAGTTATTACAAGATGTTTTTAGACATTTCATCTAAAAGAGCTTTACTGCTTTTAGCGAAGAAAACAGCTATGGTCTTGAACTGTATCATTTATATGGAGATAGGAGGAGGGATTAGAAGCCTGCATTACTGCAGATATATAGCAGAATATATTTAAGTATTCCTTGTCAGTCTTTTTGTCTGTTACTTAGATATGCAATCTCCTTTGCTTCTTTTGAAAAAAGGTCAAAACGCATAAAATTATAAACACGCCGCATGAATCGACTGCTGTATTTTTTAAAATATCATTCATTAAGAACATTCCCTCCTCAGTCAAGACCGTTTTCACACTACTCAGCACAGGAATCACAAAAACTGCCATGAAGGCGAACACTAACACTTAGAGCTCTCCCTTCTTTTTAATTCTAGTTCTTTGGCTGAAACAATTGCATGTTCTACCCAGGTTATTCTACTTCACTCAGGCACTAAACAACATTTCACACTACAAATGCCACAATAAAAATCCCCACGCAAAGACTGCTTAGCGATGCCTGCCTCTTCGTACAGCAGCTCAGAGGAAAGCACATCAGTGTAAAAAAAACCAAACAAACACATTTCCCCCCCTTCTTCATGTTACCTGCTTGCTGTATTCTTCTTCCTTGTCACCTTCTGCTGACAAGTTACCCTCTTGAAGCGATAATGCGCTTTTAATTTCTTTTCTGTACCACGCCTAAATGTGAACAAATCCATTATTTAAAATTGAAGGCCAAAAAAAACCCCAAATCAACAAACAGTGCACTTTCAAATGTAACGTCCTAGCAGCGCTTTCTACTTGGACTACACTTACAAAGCCAGTGATCTCATTTTCTCCTAATTTCTCCACTCCCTTAAACAAACAACGTGGCCTGTACACAATCTTCTGCAGGTTTTTAATACACATTTGCTCACTCATGTAATTTAGCGTCCTACAAAAGAGCAATAACTTGTTGACTCCAATTTATTTCACCCCCCTGACTAGTATTTGTAATGCCAAATTATTCCTGCCGTATCCAAACGACTCCGCTGCGTCGGGATGAAATGAGCTTCAGTTTTTTGTTTCACATACATCATATCTTACAACTCACTGAGCTATAACAAGGAAAAATATATGGCAGATGTATAAAGAGCAACTCTGCATGAAAGGGAACTTTCTGTAGTGTTACTAACAAACAACTGCGTAAACCGACTTCACCTCCTCTACATTGTTTAATTGACCAAATGTAATGCATTCAGAGGAGGACTACTGCTTAAAAGCCAAGCAAATGCAGCACCTATAATTAATCCCATTTGTTAGTAATTGTAAACCCCAATAAGAAGTTGTATCGGCCCTGAATGAAAGCACTTCAATACCTACTCTGCATCAGGTAACATGCCTGAAAACAAATCTTTACCATAATTAACTTAACCAGCTCTGCATTTCACTCCAATTGTGCACTCAGCAAGTCTGCTATTTCCCAGGTAACAGAAGCTGCTCATAGAAGTGTAAATGTGAAATCTTAAGAAACAAAAAACTAACCCCGTGAGAACTAAAGATGCCCACAATAAACTCAACATTCAACTCCCAAATTGTCCAGAAAGCATGACTGAATTTACTTACACTCCCAGAAGTGAGTGAGTAAACTCTCACACACAAACACAAGCAAAAAAAGACCAAAAAAACCAGGCAAATCTTTGAGAAATAAAGCTTTGGCAGCTATAGTCACATAATAAACAGTGCATATAGTTATGATGAAGCACTCCTAAGGGGCATTCTCACACTATGAAAAAATAAGAGAAAATAGCAATAATTTCTTTTTGTGTACTTCCATGATAGATTAAATGATTACACACTCCATAATTCTTATGGGGGCTTTTCATAACTGCAGCACAGAGGATGTGTAATCTGTGCTTTGTTCAACAGCTCAGAAAAATAAGTCTAACCTGGCAAAAATAAAATGGATGGCACAGAAACATCATAATGGATGCAACGAGTGGAAGCCCTGCATGCAGATCAACACAGGGCACAGCTGCGACTCACACCAGCATAACCTACAGCTAGTCAAACTGGTGTGTGTGAAGGTTGCTTAGAAAAAAAAAAAAATCCATAAAAACAACAGGGGAAACCTAACATCACAGCAAGCCCTGGTCCTGCTCTGCATAACAATTAAAAATAAAATAAAAGAAGGGGGAAAAAAAAAAAAAATCACACAGACACCCCAAAGGACAGTGTCTAAAGTAGACGTTAGTAAGATGAAGCGAGAAGATGCTGATGCCACTGATGTGATAGAAAGCCAGAGAATTCAGAAAGGACTAGACGCTGCATTAACATTAACAACCATAGTTAAAAGGAATGAAGTTCTTTTAGAAAAGATGATAGCTCACGCTTCAGGTCATACATTTATCTACTGAAAGAAAGGAACTGCGTACAAAGGGTGTCTTGCCCTTCGCTGTCATGGAACTAGTGAAAGCCAAATCAGAGAGTAGAAAAAAAAGAGAATAAAGTACACTGCTGTTTCCACATCCCTGCTTCAAGCTAAGCCCCAATAATGCTTCCTAGTGAAGTTTCCAGAGCATATTAAAAGTTTTAAAAATAATATAAAGTACAGTTTGCTTGTTTGTGTCCTACCTTCTACATCATCTATATTTGGGCATTTTTAAGTAATAAAAGCCTTACCAAAATATAGTTTCATAACAAAGTCTTTACAAAACTACTATAACTGAAGTCATCTTTTTGACCTAACCTAGATAACACTGATTTATTATCTTATCACTAACACATGATCCATTTCCACATTTCTCTGATCTCAGTTCTCCCTCACTTCCAAGAGACTCAGAGGACTGCAGAGCTCTGTGAAGCACTGCTGACTACCTCTGTAGCTACAGTGGGGTATTATCAGGGTTTGGGTTCATTTCAAATTCCCAAACACCACTCCTTTAAGCACTCCAAAACATACGATGAGATTTCACCAACGTCTGAAGTCTTGAGGCGTATAATACTCAGCCCAAACCAACTTAGCAACCCTGTAATAACAGTAAACACTAGTGCATTAAGTCTTATAGAAAGTTACTTCCATCTTCTGAATCATCGCTGAAGTTGAAGCTTTCATATGAGCTTCAAATTGGTCAAACTCTTTCCAGAAGGCCTGGTTTCACAGAAGAGCTCTTTTTTGTTGTTCATCTATTTCTTTCAAGCATTTTTTCAGCCTCGTGTATCTTAGTTTCTTTCTACAGGGGAAAAAGAAACTGTACTAAGAGTACGAAAATGAAACAAATGCATCACAATCACTGTTCTTCAGACACATGCACACTAACACTTCTGTGGGAGCTGTCCCCCCAAAAGGAGCATACATTATTCTGCACAACTGTCCAAAGCTATGCTATACAATTGACAGGATGCCTGCTACATAACTTTGCATTTTAAGAGAGGGGTTAGAGTTCAGAAGGATAAGTACATTAATAATGCTTGTAAAATAATTTTAAAAGGATTACTTTTTAGGTACTTATATCGCATGATGTCAAGAAGAAAATTGTATTTAGAAGAACATGCTCTGAAAGTCATACAAATTCTAATATCAAGGCTGTGGTTCCACAATTTCTTTAAGCCAACCTAAATCTACGCAGTCACCAAAAGAGGATCTCATACCAAACCCCTCTTTTTTTTGTGCCAATGTTACCTGCTCTGCAGGCACATGGCAAATCAGGCTAAGAGTAACCCAGCTGAAAATCCATCTAAACCAAGTTCTCACTCATCTAAGAAAACAGATTTACTTTCCGCCAGACCTATTTTCTTATCTGATTAGAGGGCAGCCACAAGGGAGTTAGTGCCAAGAAAGGGAAAATGTGAACCAGGGGCAGTCAGGAGAATCTTTGGGTCTCAAATCTGCCTACAGGTCCGCTTAAATCAGTGGTGAAATTGCAACCTAAATCCCCCCAAGATGCCAATATTTTCACGGAAACTTCAGTTCATAGCCTGTTAGATTAAAATACATTAAATTATAACAGAAAACAAAGTACACATATTTCCCCATCTGTCCAGGCACTTTTTTCCTTTAATTTCATCTTTGTTTTCTAACTTAAAGGCCCTCTTTTCTAAAAGGAGTTCCAAAGAGAATGGCCACTACTGCACCCAGCCCTCAGTCCCTCAAGCCAAGACAGAAAAGTCACCTCCCTGAGCTGTACAAAACACATTTGAGGAAAGAAACACCGGATGATAATCTTTTCAGCCCTCATTTGTTGTTGGTTTGGTTTGTTTGTTTTTACAGACTGACCACACAACTTACATAAATAGGTACTGCAGAAATAATCCAATGAGCAGGACCAGAACCTAGGATATCCTCTAGGACTTCCTAAAACTTTCAGTTTCTAAGACCCTAGGACTTTCTAGCACAAACTATGCTATAGAGATTTTTTTAAAAGCTGTACAAAGGTGATCTGCATATCAGTTATCACTAAGATAATAACATTTCGGTATTAATAGAATAAGGTAGTTATGTTAATGCTGAAGTTACTTCATCAATAACTTAGAGACATGAATCTTACATTATACTTAACATATGAATACAAATGGATTATTACAAAAGAAACTTCAAGGTAACATTCTAGAAGCATTCCATAATACTCAAGTCTTTGTAGCTAAAATACAATAACCTGTAAGAAGCTTTTAAATAGGCTTACAGGTATGCATCAGACGTTATGTATGCCATCAGTCTTCTTTCTAACTCCAGCCTTTGGGCTTCACTGAAAGAAAACAAACAACATATAGTGAGATAAAACTATTTCACCATTTCGATTCACAAAGCGCAAGAAATAAAGCATTTTACAGAGCACAACCTTTTCAGAGCAGAGAGCACACCTGTTCATTAAAGCCACGCACCACGAGAGATATGCTAGAGCTACCTGTCCAAACTTACTAAAAGGTAACGGATGTGAGTAACCTTCAAAAATATTTATGGTTGTGAAAATGCTATGGGGCCCTCTGTAGCTGCCAAAAGCAATGCAAGGCCCACAGGGATGGTCAGATTGCTAAAGAACAGACTCCATACCTCACCTCCCATCTATTCCAAAGAGAATCTGTTTTCAGGACAGGAAAAGAATAAAGCTCGTGTCACTTAATAATTACAAATTGCATCTGAAGATGAGCAATCATGAGCAAAGAAATTAATCAATTGATAAGACAGAAGCTTCCACAAGATACCCATTAAAAACCCTGCAGCAATCAAAGCAAGTACCCCAAGCTGATTATTAAAAAATAATCTCAAATTCTTATTAGCCAGGAAGGCCGTACATGTGCGAGTGATGCGGGCAGATACCCAAGGCTGCAGGCACCCAGGTGGTGAGGCACACTTATCTATGGACCCCTGCACACCCCTATGAGCCTGGCAATGTCGCAGCCAAACACATTTGCCTCTTCCCAGTTGCCCTGCACAGAGGAAAGCCATGGGAAAAAAAAACAACCCAACAACAACAAAAACCCACAAAACAAACCTTTCTGCTTCTAAGCCTGAGATCAAGGCATCCATTTTACTCATCTGATCCTGCCACTGTCTGAAATAAGATTAGGTTTTCATGTCATGTATGCAATTTAAAAGCCACGCTTCATCTGGGATCTCATCCTTTCAATTTCCTTTTACATGATGGACAGCTAAGCAAAAGGAGATTTCAAGATCTTGTTTTTACACTTCTAGAAGTAATTTTCGTGACTCAGTGAAGAACACTGATATCCTGATGGATGTAAAAGCCGATGGACGTGAATAGCTATTGGCTCCAATCCTATTTCTCATTCTCCAACACCACAGGTAGCATGTCACGTTCCGCAGCTCTTGAAAGATCGTTTCCTTTCTACCGGCATGGATTTTCAGTATCCCATTCGCTGGTCTGTGCTACAGCTATTAATACAGCCCACAAATACATACGTAAGGTCTTAAGGCAAGACAAAACAGTAGGAAAACACCAGGTAAGAGCCTCTCAGCATTTGAGTAGCATCACTCCGAATGCCAAAAACGGTTATGGCAGAGCTTGTGGGGTTTCACAGCACAGCTCTATCTGAGCACTGAATCAGAGGAAATCAAGACTTGACTCATAGATTTGCTTGCCCAGGTTCTGGCAAGGTTGCAGCATCATTTCTGTGTGACAGTAGCAAAGCTTGAAGCAGCACAGGGATCATTCTGGCCACTCTACTGTACCAGCATCTCCTTTTTTGACATGAAAAAAACTCTTAGCCTGAAAATTGTATTTGTCCATGCAGTTTTGTGTTAGGTCAAAACGGTGCAAGCAGTCAGTTATTAACTTTCTTCTTAAATCGGCAAAATCAGCACCCTTCAGAAATGTTTAAGGATCCAGGTGGCTAGTTTTCAAACAACTCTGAATCTTCAGTCTACAGAGGAATAGCACTAGTTTGGGTCTCGAGAGCAGATTTAAATTCCCTGGTCAGCCACAAGTGCTCTCTAATCTCTAGCATTTCAGCAGCCATCAATCTGTTGTGATATTTGATCCCACACTTCCCATTTAAACCAGCAGATGCCTCAAGTTGTTAGGGTTTTCGGGTTTTTTTGAGATACCAGGCCTCAGCGTCTCTGTGCTCCAGTTCCCCATCTGTAATGTAGGAATAACAGCACTCCTGTCAGGATATCCCGTTGAGATAGGTGCACAGAAAATCATGTAACGCTCAGGCACAACACAATCTTCTCATAAAAGTAAAAAGTGCTATTTGTACAGTTGTTTTTCTACACCAGTGTGACATTAAATCAACTGTTGAGCTCCGAGCTGCAGTCATCTTGCTAGCCTGGAGCCTGGCCAGAGCCTGCTCAAGCCTTAAGTTGACTGCGCTGGTCCCTGGGGGGCAGTTAGAGGGGGCCCATTTAGCACCATCTTCTGTGTACAACTGGTACCAGCTGGTATTTCTGAAACTAATAATCCTTCCCAGTTTACATTCTCTGTTCAGGACACCTCAGCATTTGTACACATTTACTGCAAATCATCCTTAGTGTGAGGCATCTGGCCTCGCTGTCTGAAAAGCAAAGCTAATTGCAACGTTAGTCACAGTGTTAAGTACAGCACTTAACTATATAATTTATTTTCTTCATTGCCCACACCGCCTTTCTCACCAGCAACCGCTGAAGATTAAGTGCTGAGTAATCACAATGTGGTCAGATCTGCATAAAACACAGAAGGCAAACTCTCTGCCCTGTTTCACTTATCATCTCATGCAACTCAAAACTAATTCTCTGTAATTTTGCACACAACACAGATACCATTGACCTGCATAGAGACCTAGGCATGCAGTGATATTTATATTTAGATTGAGAAGCAATTGAGGGAGCTGGGTCTGTTCAGTTTGACAAAGAGGAGGCTGAGGGGGGATCTCATCATGCTCTACAATTACTTGAAAGGACATTGTAGAGAGGTTGGTGCTGGTCTCTTCTCACAGGGAATTAGGGACAGAACCAGGGGGAATGGTTGCAAGTTGCAACAGGGCAGGTTTAG